ATTCCGACAGCTAATATTTGTAATTATTGTTCCGCGCATTGAAAAACTGAGCACTGCAAGTATATGTCGCGAAAGACAATAGAATTCTGCGCGATGTCTCCATCGTCGTCATTGTTGGGCATCCTCACTTCCTCTTGGGTTCCTGTAGTTTGCTGGGCACTGTTCTACAGCATCAAACGTTTTTTGCCTTATTTCCTACAGTCTAGGTGTGTTACTCTTGGGATCTTTCTTTATCCAGCAAACGCTCAGAGTGCTCTATTGGCGAACCTGATTGATTCTCCACGATCGCCCGCGCGTGTTGCTCTCCAAATGAGCTTGACCGTTGATTTTTAGTGTAAAAACATTTCAAATTGTAGGTGTTGGATTCCTCGCTCCTAGAAAACTCAGGCTCAGAGTTCAATTGTTAACTAGGCGACAGCACACTGAGGTTTAAAATATCAAGTTATCTTAAAGCTCTGCCACTGAATATTAGTAAAATCTACTGGCGTTCTATCACGAATGTCGTTCTCTGATGGGCTACGCTACACACTTTTCTGTTGTAGATAGTGAGTAGCCTAGAGTGTGCGGTTTTCCAAAAAAAATGGCGGCCGCTTCTTTGAATTGTCGAAGTGTCTGTGAAGAGGATTTAAATAAAGTTTTGAACAACTAGTAGATTTATCCTGAAACAATTATATTAATCGCTCTCGATTCCGATGCGTAATAGAAATGTCGAGCTCATTAACTAATTGACAAATATGTTCCAGGTTTGTTAACGTTAGTACCTGGGATTATAACGACCCATTTTGCGAGAGATAACTCCTTATGTTCTTGACTCGTCTCATCGTCATCCTCAGAATATTGTCTTTGTTTGAAGATGATGAGGTGACCGACACAGCCACACACTTGACTTGCAAAGCTAACGCCCGGTAGGCCAGGGTAACACACCAGCAAGCGTGTCACGGACACTCTGAAATCACTGTGGTCTGAAAGTTCCAGTTTCATGTATAAACAACAATGGAAATTTGTCAATGTTGAAAACGGTTCGACACAAAAACTGGGAGCGCTAAAATAAGTTACGAGGAATCGTTCTCCAAACGGCATCTCTACACGCATACTCTAACCAGAGTTTTTCTCCTCAATATTTCGCAATTAAATCTGGGCCGGTTTGTTCGAAAGCCGGTTAACGCTAACCCAGGATTAAAAGTTAACCAAAGTATCAATTTTTCTTGTATAAAAATGTTTTTCATTGCTTATGTATTGTGCCGCTTAAGATTATTCAAACTCAAAACTGAAAGGCAAACAATATAAACAGAAAACCTCACCAAAAAGTTATAAAATTGAAATCAAAATTCTCGCTAATCCTGGGTTAGCTTAATCGGGCTTTGAACAAGCCGGCCCTGAGCCGTGAAATGGCTACTGACAGTGGTTTTGCGTTTCCACGTCAGAAGAAAAAGAGGAAAAACTTTGGAACCAGGGTATCAAATCCAGCAAAAGAAAAGACTACACTGGTCTTTATTTTTTTCCAATTCAAACAATAACGGAAGAGATTGCCTTCTTTCATCTTATCCGCTTTGTAGAAATCCCCGACCAATGTTACCACCAATGTATAATGTAAGTAAATCAGTGCACAATTCGCAAATACTACAGCACCTTAATATATATTTTTTAGTATAAATCTACTAGCATTCTATCACGAGTGCCGTTCTCTGATTGGCTACGCTACTCACTATCTATTCCGTGATAGATAGTGAGTACCGCAGCAGTGTGCGCTTGTTAACAGAATGACGGCCGCCTCTTTGTGTTTTCGAGCTGTCTGTGAAGAATATTTAGTTTAAGTTTTGAACGACTAGTAGATTTATACTAAAACAATTAGATTATTCGCTCTCGATTTCTATGCGTGATAGTTGACTCAGGCTGCGCCCTCGTCGACTATCACGCGGTAAAAATCTCGAGCTCATAGTCTAATTGTTTAGTAGTGATGTAACTGAAGTGATCAGTCACTTTAACCTGGTTAACGTTTTGGTGCCTGGACTTTGGTGATGTCACGATAAAAGAACAGGTGTAAAATAGGCGTTTGAGGCCGGACATTACAATTTTCAGACTTACTTGGCTGAAAAGAAACGCGTAACACTTCTCCTGCTCCAGCCTTGTCCAGCTTGACAATAGCAAATCGGGGCTCAAACAGATGTCCTGTCATGGTGCACCTTTATTACAAGGTAAGACAAGATGCAGAAAATGACATTACAGTCGCAATCTCGAGCTAAGTTAACCCAGACTCCCCGCTATCTTGAACTGGACTTATCTTTCCTTGAATTACATGTAACAATTTGAGCAAATCCCCGCTATCTCGAGCTAGTTTCGTTTCCAATAACGAGAGCTCGAGTTAGCGAGTTTCAATTGCCACCATCTGTCATTATGGTTTATCCCAACCCTTCCAAGAAGAGGGTGATCTCTAAAAGACTGAAACTAATGATCTTCGCACCTCTAGTACATCATTTTAAGCGTTTGTAATGTTGACAGCGTTTTTTTCCCAACGTTTGACACTGCCGTGGGAAAAAAAAAAAAGACGAAGAACATTTCTTATAAAAATACGTTTAGACCCATACTAAACGTGTTAAACTTGACCTGTTCTTGGTTGATTGAAAACTTTTACGTGTAGATGTTAATATACTGGTATAGCTCGAATCGTCATACCTTAGAAAAGTGTAAAACCGGCTAATATGCCCTAAAATNTGTCATTATGGTTTATCCCAACCCTTCCAAGAAGAGGGTGATCTCTAAAAGACTGAAACTAATGATCTTCACACCTCTAGTACATCATTTTAAGCGTTTGTAATGTTGACAGCGTTTTTTCCCAACGTTTGACACTGCCGTGGGAAAAAAAAACAAACAAACAAACAAACAAAAAAAAGAGTAACGAAAAACATTTCTTATAAAAATACGTTTAGACCCATACTAAACGTGTTGAACTTGACATGTTCTTGGTTGATTGAAAACTTTTACGTGTAGATGTTAATATACTGGTATAGCTCCAATCGTCATACCTTAGAAAAGTGTAAACCCGGTTGATATGCCCTAAAATCTACACAATTTTGGACTTGCACCCTCATTGAGCTAACACAGTGAACACCGATGGTTTTCCTGAGTTAATTTTGATTAATACGAGCGACTCACATGTAATCTAGTCAACCTGACGTTAACCGGTTGTGTAAAACAGATATTACCTTTCATAGTCATTCTTAGTGGCACAAAGAACCTCCTGTGAGCGATACAACATTGCCATACTCTGTACACACCAAATCCTTAGTCCACCTTCGTTCGTGAGAAGCACAAGGTATTTACCTGAAAAGTTGAAATGATCATGGATAAATATCCAAGAATGTAATGGATAATAAGGACTTATGTGTCCAACAGAATAATTTAATCTAACACTATCCTTATAGGAAGCCTACCGACTCAACTAAGTAATAAAACATTACTTTTGAAATTGCAAGCCTAGCTTGGTGCCAAAATACCCTACCGTTTTAAGTGTCAACCACGGAACAAAAAAAAAAAAATTGAATTTGCATTCCTGCACTAAATACGATAATGGAACTTTTCGGCGATACGGCGCCCATTTTGGATTCTATTCTTTTAAATAGCTATCATGGTTTCAAATAGCTATTATGCCCAGGGGGCAAATTTAATGGTACGAAACAATTGAATTCAAAATGGCCGCCGTATCTCCGAAAAGTTCCATTACCTGAATCATGTAATTTTTTTTTCTTAGTCTCCATCATAACAATCGTTTTAATTTCCACCAGTAGCGAGCAGGCAGCTAAAAGAATTGCCGTTTATAACATCAAGAGGTGTTACAGTAAGGTTCCAAAACAATAATACCAGAAAGGTTAAGATTGAAAATGAGAGTTTTTTAATATGGGGAAAAAATGTTCCTGGTGGGAAGGTTTCCTTTGTCCTCACGCCATGGTCATCCTAGTTTTGCGCATGCTCCATATGCAGGGACTTATCCCTGGTAGGCGAGTTAGGCATGTCGGAAGTGTTCACGTGGAGAAAATCTCTTACTTAGGCCTTACATGTGAGTTTAAACTCGAACTTACCTTGTGCGATACAGCAGCTCTTCACCGCAACGGGAAACAGCAGACTTTGCCATTCTTCCTGTTCGTAGTGATAGACATGAGCTAGCAGAGGCAAGATGACGACTATGACATAATTTGTTGAGATCAACAATTTCACAGTACTGCTTAGTGAAGGTGACAAGCTGTTAGTACCAGACTTCTGAAAGAGTCTCGGGTTAAGAAATGGTGCTTCTATGAACATGACCTCATTTGATAGCCTGGACGTACACGGAGCATCAGATTGTTCGTTTGACTTCGTACAACGTCCTTTTGTAAAAGATCCACAAGAAGTGGTCAGCACATTGCCTGTTTGACTTATGTTTCCCAAAGAATTCTCGGTAGACCCAAAAGCGTTAAAGTCGACTGGCATTTCAGGCGAGTTACGTTCTGCTTATTTCAAACTTCTGTATTCATTTGTCTTGCCGTTTTCCTCTACTTTTGACCTATCGTTGCTCACCTCTGTATTTTTAGAGCTACCTTCTGAAGATTTCATAAAGTTCTTACTGTTATTTCCTTGTCTGCAGTCTGTAAGTGATTTAAGATGACCATCGCCTTTTTGCAGAACTTCGGTCCTGAAGATTTCATCTTGATTGCACTGCGCACTCCCTGACCCCTCTTCATCTCGTTGGTGTTTATTGTCACTTATTGTTTCACGCACTGAACACTGCTGCATTTCAGATGGTTTATAACTTTGCCCTATTTCTGACCCTCTCTCGCTTATGTTCCTTAGTAAGGCAAGGATGTCTTGTGGAGCCCTTCTCCACAGCAGAGTAACACCACCTGCAGCCGAACGTTCTGCCAGCAAAGATCCCTCCAATGATTCTTGAAATAAAAGCTTTGTTTCTTCTTCATGAGCGGCACTGGCCTTGACTGAGGCTGTTGGGGGGGGTAACAAAAATGCTCTCATATATGTATTCAAACAGAAATGAGTGGTGCTAATACCTATGGTAGTGAGGATAGTTAGTGTCAAGTTCGAGACCAACAATTTCTTCTAGATATTTGCAGTAGAAGATATTCTAAGCGACCACCTCTTTAATTCGAAAAAGTGGTTGTAAGTAAGTTGATCGCCTACGAGTGTAGAGTTTTGGGGGCGACCTCGCGCTGAATGGATGATTGCCTGGTCACTTGCGCCAGTTTTTCACAAAATGACGGCCGCTTCTTGGCACTTTCGAAGTGTCTGTGAAGAGGATTTAGACAAAGTTTTGAACGACTAGTAGATTTATACCAAAACAATTAGATTATTCGCTCTCGATTCTATGCGTGATCTTTGACTCGGGCTGTGAAAGTTTGGGAGAACTCGAAAAAGCTGTGGAAACACTCGCCCGCGGCTCATGTTCCCACAGTATTTCTCGTTCTCCCAAACTTCCACTCATGTTTAAATTAAGCAATAAGATTATGAGAGCGAGATTTCTATCACGCATAAAAATCGAGAGCGAACAATCTAATGGTTTTAGTATAAATCTACTAGTCGTTCATAACTTTATCTAAATTCTCTTCGCAGACACCTCGAAAACGCAAAGAAGTGGCCGACATTTTGTTAACAAGCGCACACTGCTATGCTACTCACTATCTATCACAGATAGTTTTGACTACTATATAGCTTACGAGAACTTCACCAAAAATAAAAGAAAGGCCAGTTGCTACTTCTCCAAAGTGGTCGCGGTCGCTTACCGGAGCAGTCGCTTGCAAGAGCTTGTGATTATAGACCATTATATAGTTTGAGAAACAATTCGAACGGAGCGGTTTCACGACGGAAGTCACGACTAGAGATGTTTGCTAATGAAAGCACTCAAAAGGAGGAGCTAAGGAGAGCTTTGACTATGTGCTTTGGTGGTACGTAAAACCGCAGATTTTAGTCAAGTGTCCCAAAACTAGAACGCAACGACAATAGCCAGTTTACACGAAAACTGAACAACACAGCGAACCAAATAGAGCTCGAAGAACACGTTACAGACGCTAAGCTACAGAAAACTCACAGGAGCAGGAGGCAATTGGTTTCGGTTTTCGGTTTCTTTTTCGGCATCTGATTAATTGAGAGTCTGGGAGAGAAGGAAGCGAATTTTTTCAGGACCAATCACAGAGCGTGGAGATGCAAAACCTAATCAATCCTGAAGCAAGTTCAGGTCTCAACCGAGGAACGGTCGTCTATGGAGAGGTATTCATCTGATCAAGGTACAAGGCACAAGGTAACTGGGAAATGGCCTACTACGCTTCCGGTTCGTTGCGCGTGTCATTACAGAGAGGGCTTGGAAATGGATAATTCGTCAGGACGGTAACAGCGCTATCAGCAAAACCTAAGCAATTCTGAAACAAGTTCAGGTCTCAACCGAAGAACGGTCGTCTATGGAGAAGTATTCATCTTATCATTAATCTTGCACGATCTATAGAATACATTGACCGACTTCCCATTCAATAAGGCGTATCTTGACTTCTATAACTGACTTCATTAACCCGAAGAACTTGCTAGTGAACGATCAAGGGTAAAACACTCCAACCTTATGGCTCTTCAAATTTAGTGTTTTGAATAAACACGGGCGCTGAATCTATTCTTTCCAGCGTCCCAATTTTGTTGTTGAGTAAAAATAGAGCGCTTGACGATTGCTCGCATATTTTTTTTCAAGTTAAATAGGAATTTGTCTTTCAAACGTTGAAAATGGTTTCTTCGATGAATATGGTCTGTTGCAAGGGCAAAATCAGTAGACACACAAGTAACTGGTCTGTGGCTAAAGTTGAAATCCGCATGTAAGAACCTACATTTTTTCAAGTCTGGCAAAATAGGGTCCTGTGTTTTAGAATAGTTATTCGCAGTTTAGGCTAAGTGCAAATAGGTTCTCATTGGGTTCTTAATTTCTATGAAAGGGATATAGTTTTTGATTACCAGAAAAATAAATAAACTTGGGTTTGGTCTAGTCCTTAAATATACAGTATTAATTCACAACTGTATTATGGCTTAACACAACTGATTACAGAATGCATAGAACAGTTTTAAATTGGGTGTCGAAAGATAGTACGAAAATTATATGTACTTTGGTTTTAGTTCTACTACAGTTTGAGATAAGCTGAATAGTCTAATTGGTTAAGTAATTGGTTTGGTTTTGGTTTTATGACACTCAATTAAAAACCGCTCTGAGAAGTGTTGCCTGTATAACAAGAGTTCATAATTTAACTGTAACCCACAAACAAGAACCTGCTTGATCTAGCTTGGCTAAGCAGGTTCTATTATATTGGGTTTTAAAATGGAAAATTTCTGCCAGTAGGTTCTCAAACCACTAAATTCTTGTACGCAGGTTTTTACTGTATTCAGTAAAACTCATTCTTAAAAAATGGTTCTTAACATCTACACGGGAGAGAGTACACATCACTTACCCGACACACTTGTTGGCCACTTTACCAAAAAACACTGCTTTTTTGATCTCAACACACAGAGGGTGTAGTCTCCTAACATTCGCCTAATACATAGAACACATAATAAGTTTGAAAACTTAAATATTGTTGAAATATCAATTTTCAATAAAAGTGACACCAGTGTAAGGTTGAAAATTAAAACTAAACAAAAGTTTGGTTATTAGTTTACATGGCAGTGTCTATACTGAAGAAGCATAATCTGTCCGGGCGAGATTAGCTTTCCCAGTGCGCCCGATTACGCTTCTCATTGCAAGGTTGGCCGGACACAAGATGGATTATACGTCAAGAAAAACCATCTGCTCAAGTGCGTCTTGCACTACGAACTAAGAAGTTGGTTCAAAAGGACCATGACTTTGTGTGCGTTTACGAAGAAGGGTACCAGGCAAATAGACCATTTCCGAGTTGCTTTTTGCCAGGACGGTAACAGCTCTATCTGCTTTTCCAAGTCTTTAGTGACGAACTGAGGCCTTGGTGCATCTAAAAGTTCAAAAGTCGTCTGGACAGATTATACATATCTTAGTACTGCATGCATCAACCCCAGTCCCAGGCTCTCTTGTTTTGCCTCCCTTGCGATCGAGGTTGTGCACACATGCACTGTATGTACCTGAAACTTGCTAGTCCCTTCACGATGCCATCAAGAGGAATTCCTGTGGTGACTGAAGTTTGAGTATCAAATGTCGATAGACAAGATGTCTTGTCATTGCACTGAATCAACCTGGGATTAGAACATAATACACTTCCATTCAACATTTAATCTTTGCAGTCCCGTAGAGAAAACTATTTTAAGTTTATCTTGTTAAAGAAGCTCAGTCACGACATTTTGAGGTATTTTGGCTACGTACAAGCTAACCTTGAAATCAAAGGAAACCTGAAAATAGTCACTTACGAAGACAGAAAAACATCAAAGAGATAATAATAAACCATAAACGAACAGGGATGGTTAAGGATGGAGAAGATTGACAAGGATTATAAACGACGACGAACTTGAAAAAAATAGCCTAAACTTTTCGAGGTGCGCAAACCTTGACGTAGCTCCTTTAAATGCCGATAATATATATCTTTCTTTAAATTTTTTGTGACTTAGTTTGGAAAATTCTGTGGTCAGTGGTAAATGCTTGGAGATAAATTATCACGAGATTGTGGAGACATCTACTTAGACGATTACAATCACCTTTGGGAATAATAAACGGCTGAATGAATTCAACAGAATCGATAGTTCTTGCAAAAAATTTCGGACGATTTCAATTTCGGACTAAAAAAGTGTCCGAAAATAAAACAGTAAAACGGTCCGAAATTTTTAAGCTTCCAAAATATTAAGCGTCCGAAATATTTACAGCGCTGCATAAAACTTTGAAGTAGCTCCAAAGCTCTTAATTTTCTTTACGGAGCGCACTATAGTTGATACACTTATTGAGATACGAAACAGCTCGGTGATACAATTTGTGTTGCTTTCTCGTCGGTGTATCTGTACAACCTTGAGGGTGCAGTAACACTTTTTTTTTTGACAGACGTTCTTTCAGTCCACTGCGTGGTTTGTAGCCGTAAGTTCACTTTAGCTTTGTTTAAGTGTCCATAAATTCGTCCGAAATGCATGAATACAAAAAGTGACCGAAAATTATACGTGCGGAATTTCACCATCCGAAGTTTTTTTTTTTTTTTTTTTTTTTTTTTTTTTTTTNTTTATTGTAAAAGGATGCCCTCTTGCTGGATGCTAATTCCAAGTCTTTTTGTTTGTTTTTGGATCGATTTTTCATTTTTTTTTTTTTTTTTTTTTGCCAGGAATGTATATATGTCCCAATGCTTGATATGATAAGAAATGAATTCAAAGGTCTGGGGAAATTTTGACTCTGGTCTTTTGCTAACTCCTCACCACATGAGGCAGTTTATAACGTTCTGACAGCTTAGAGCATGCCGAAACTCTGGCCCATTAGTGGACAGGACCTGGTAGGCTGAAGGGTTTATAGTCGTTTCGATACAAAGGCACTGCTAACAGTAAATGTAAAATTTGTTGAAAGCATCAGGTGATTTGCTAGTTTTCGGAAATGAAAATTAAGTAAAAAATTTTACTAGCCTCACAAATCTGTTATCTGGAGACCAGCTTATGAAGGACCCAGGTAGATCTCCAGACACTCTATCTACACTTGTGCTGTAATGAAATTCTTCCCATGTCACCTTCTCATCCTGAACTATCTAAAATATGGAAATACAACGTACATTTTGTACAGTTCATAAAAACGAGAGGGATATTCAAATCGTGCTACTATGCCAGAGTTTAGAAATGTCATTTTAAGAGTGATTCCCATCAACTGGAATAAATCATTTGAGCCTATGAAATACTGCTAGATATTATAATTGTAACATACTGTTTGTCAGTTACTCCAAAGTCAGAGTAGTCTAGTGTAGTTTGTTAGACTTCACAGTTTTACCCAGTGTCTGTCGTCTTTTCTACTATCACTCAAGTAGTTTATTTTGCCATAACATTGGAAGTTAGAATAACATGTAGAACTGCTTAGTGAAGCAGATAATAATTAAAAACGATGTTAAGGTGGCTGAACACAGTTTTTGATAACTGTGTTCATTCACCTTTTCCTCTAAAACCCTTGATCCCTCGGTCGCCAAAAATGGCAGCAAGCAAGTTAACAACACAAACTTTGCTTTTTTTATGGTTAAGCTGACGTATGTACCGTTGCCATGGCAACATGAATAAATATAAACAGGCTTTTAAAATCGGTTTTGTTTATTTATAGAAAATCTAGTCA